TTACCTTGGATGTAGATCCTTTTCTAGGATTCTCTCTTCTTCTCTTCTTTTTTCTCCTCTTTTCTTCTTTCTTCTCTTCTCTTGTTTTGACAACTTCTCTCTCTGGATATATTTTCTCTTTATTTTACAAAACATATACTAACTATTGTTTTACTCTAATGGACTTATCTCACACACTCACACTAATGTGACACATAAGACCCAATTATTCATTTGTTATTCTCACACCCAATGACCCAATACACATATAACACATATATTCACAAAATCACATAATTAATTAATTACTATATTATATAATAATTAATAAAATAAATAAATAATAAAATAACTAATAAATAAAAAATTCAAGATGTTACACTTAACATCGTTATGAGAGATAAGATATACATACGATGGTGTATGTATTCGTTAAATATTTATTCATAAACTCACTTTGTTACAGCTAACTATATAAAAATTAAACTAATAAGATCATTTTTTGTATACAAACGAGAATCATATGAAAAATGATTGATTAGACTTATATTCCTTTGACCTTAAAATTTTTATATATAAGTTGTATAGCTCGTTTGTTCGAGTGTTTGTCTTCCCTTCAGGAAATTTTATTTAACTTATCGCTTTGATTGATCATTAAGTGTAGTTGTTGAATTACGATTCAACCTTACTACTTTAAAGTGTTTTAGAAATTGTGGGTTCTGGGTAGCATAAACTTGGGTGTTAGTTGATTTTAAATATAAAGTTTGATCGCGCAATGGTAGAAAAAAGTTCGTAAAAAATTTTACTCATGCTATGGAAGAAAGAAAGTTGTGTTGATTGAAAATAAAAAAAAAGTTATTTGTTCTATGGCGGAATGACAATTGTTTGATTGATTTTAATTGCTTTCAAGGAGGAAGACAAGTACTCGAACTAGCAAGCTATACAGCTTGTGTCCGAATGCTCAGGATCAGAGGGATATACATCCAATTGACCCATTTATAACAATATGTAATGTTAAATTTTTGTTCCATTATCTATGTACTTCGACTATGTTAAGTTGGTTTGATTTCAAGGGTTTTGATTCATTCACTGCTTCTGCATATTTTGGATATGTATATCCCCCCCGATGGGGAATTCAAAGTTATGTAATTCTGGGTAGCATAAACTTGTGTGTTAGTTTATTTTAAATATAAAGTTTGATCGCGCAGTGGTAGAAAAAAGTTCGTAAAAAAATTTACTCGTGCTATGGAAGAAAGAAAGTTGTTTCTTGATTGAAATTTTTAAAAAAAAAAATATTTGTGCTATGGCAAAATAACAGTTGTTTGATTGATTGTAATTGCTTTCAAGGAGGAAGACAAGTACTCAAACTAGCAAGCTTTACAGCTTGTGTCTGAATGCTCGGGATCAGAGGGATATATATCCAACTAACCCGTTTATAATAATATATAATGTTAAAATTTTGTTTAATTATCTATGTAACTTCGACTATGTTAAATATATGTTAAGTTGGTTTGATTTCAAGAGTTTTGATTAATTCACTGTTTCTGCATATTTCGAATGTATATATCCCTCCCGATGGGAAATTCAAAGTTATGTAATTATGGGTAGTATAAACTTGTGTGTAAGTTGATTTTAAATATAAAGTTTGATCGCGCAGTGGTAGAAAAAAATTCGTAAAAAAATTTACTCGTGCTATGGAATAAAGAAAGTTGTTTCTTGATTGAAAATAAATAAAAAAGTTCTTTGTGCTATGGCGGAATGACAGTTATTTAATTGATTGTAATTGCTTTCAAGGAGGAAGACAAGTACTCGAACTAGCAAGCTATACAGCTTGTGTCCTAATGCTCGAGATCAGAGGGATATACATCTAACTGATCATTTTTAATCCATTTTTGTTTGAAAAATATCTTAGAAGAATCGAGTCATAATTCCTTAAAGGAAGACAATCATTCGAACAAGTTGTATAGCTTGGGCCCGGACACTTGGAGTCAAAGGGATATACATCTAATTAAGGGGATTTCTTTACTCATCTTTATATGGGTGAAAAATACCTCTGAAAACTCCAAAATAACCTTCGGATATGCATATCTGAATGAACCCTTAAATCCATTTTCAGGAAGATTTCAGATATGCATATCCGATTCAGGGGTATTTTCAGATATGCATATCCGAAAATACCTTTGTGACATAAGTTTGCTTCATGATCACCCCTACCAGTATTTCATTCATTTCATTTCCCCCATAACTAAAACCTACTTCAAAACCTCTACCATTCTCAACCATCGTCTCCAAATTAAGTTTCAAGTGTTTTATCATATCAAAGAGAGCATAGAAAACTATAATTTAAGATAAAAAATTCTTTTTTTGCCTCTCATTTTGTTGCATTGATTCTGAAAAATATTGAAAAAAACAGCGTTACTTCGGATATGCATATCTGAAACTCACCTAACCTATTTCGGATGTGCATATCTGAAATTGTTTGTTACATAAAAACATAATTTTGTGTTGAACAAATATTATATTTTCGACTGTTTTAGATATGATGCACCCCGACATGTTTTCCAAATCTGTTGTAAAGGATACAGACAAGGTGAATGAGGATGCTAAGCCGAAAGAGTTAAAGGATAATGTTAGACAACAATTTACAAATTTTCAGTGCTCGTCAACATATGCTAGAATGGGTACGAATTGAAGCTAGCAAACTCGGGTTTGGTGTTGTATTTGGAAGGTCCGACAATAGCACTAGTAGAAGGAAAGCATTTGTAATGATGACATGTGAGAGAAGTGGAAAATATATTCCAAGAATTTGGAACTTAAAAAATGAAGACACCAGATCGAGAAAATATGGGTGTCCGTTTAAATTGCGCGGATACTGTAGGATGGATGATTTGTGACAATTTAATTTCATATGTGATATACATAATCATGTGTTGGACATGAAGCTACAATGTCATCCAGTTGTATGTCGGCTTAAGCCAGCGAAAAAGAAAATTATTTCAGAAATGTCGTCCATCAAAGTTGCACCGAAAAACATACTTGCCGATTTAAAATGGAAAAGACCAGAAAGTATTCCAAATATCAAGCAGATATACAATGAGCGTTATCATCAGAACATGGTGAATAAAAGTTCGAGATCCGAAATGCAACAACTTTTGAAACTTATGGTAAAATCTATATGATTCAAATACATATATAATATGTCTATTCAACATTTTACCCCTATTTACTTTTAACATTAAATTTTTGTCACGTTTCTATCGTACTGGTTCTGATAAAACTGATTCTGCCACTGGTTCTGCATATTTAGGATATACATATCTGAAATTTTCTGCCTTCTTTTAAAAAAAACAGAACAAGAATTATTTCGGATATTCATATCCGAACAAACCTTCAATTTAAAAAAAACAAAATAAGGATTATTTCGGATATGCCTATCCAAAATCCCCTAATTACGTTAAAAACAACTTAATTTGGATGTTTATATCTGAAATATGCACTGGTGTCAGGATAAGAATTTTTTGGTCTAAATTGTTCTATCTCTTCTATAATTAGGTTCTCTAAACTATTTCTTCAACATCACAAACCACAAACAGAGATGAGTCAAACATATCCTCACTTTGCTTTTGTCTACTTCAGTGGTAACATATGTCGCCACTACAGTTTCGGCTCTCCGAAGACACGCCTTTCGCCAGCCTCATTACCACACTGAATTCTCTCTTGCAATATCCGAAAAATCAAAAGGTGGTCAAGATCGAGTATCGTTCACTCTCACTTGACACTGAAGGTAACATAAAGTTCACCAAGTTTGAGATGAATACGGATGGCGATTTAAAAGTTATGTGGAGTACTTTTCAGCGATACTCTACTAAGAGACCAATTGAAGTGGATGAGAAGCTTCAAAGATCGGGAGAAGATGTTATCAAAATGTTATGACGCCCATAACTATCCGTTTATAACAATATGTAATGTTAAATTTTTATTGAATCATCTATGTAATTTCGACTGTTAAATTTATGTTAAGTTGGTTTGATTTCAAGGATTTTGATTCATTCACTGCTTCTGCATATTTCAGATATGCATATCCGAAATAAAAGCATTGGTGTCTTCAAATATGCATATCTAAAATTATTTGTACAAAATAGAATTTGATTCGTTCAAATATGCATATCCGAATTCAAGGAATATTGTAAGAATTTCGCCAGAGCCCCATAAGAAAACATAAGAGTGGGTAAAAAAAAAGCCCTCTAATTAATCATTTTTAGTCCGATAAAATAATGAACTAAAAACGATAGTAATTAAAATTTCTTGAAAGGGAGATCATTCCTAACATGTACAATTGTGCAAAGAGAATATCTGATTTATTTAAAAAGTTAATAAGAAAATAATTAATGCACTTTAAACTTTTAAGGAGTTTTATTACAAAAAACAATCAAAATATCTTAATTTAAAGCCTATACATTAATAATTTAAATTTACATATAATTGAATTAAGCAGAAAAGCTTACATGAACAAAATGAAGCTAACAAAAAAGAAAGAAAAAAAACCTTGATAATTAATAATTTAATTTCTTTTAGATGTAAGCTAGACCTTTTGGAATGTAAGGTCTAGCTGCAGCATTTTGGTTATAAGCTTTCTTGAACACACAATAAGCTAATGTAAACACATTTAATAGAGCACAAACTAAAAATGTATGAACAAAAAGCTAAATTAAACCATTATTATTACTAAAAGTGTGGCAAATCAGGATTCCCAATATTTTATCAAAATGCTAATTGAAAAATCAAATGAGCTACAAAAAGGATTAATCACTCACAGCATGTTACCAATATTGCATACATTTTCCATGAAAGCATGCCACTTTGAATAGGGCATAACCTCAAAATATTATCACTTCTAACTATTCCACACAAACAGATAAGAAATTGTTCTGTAATTGCTCCTTCTGCAGATTCTAAAATGGGCGTTAAAAGACAAAACCTGACCAGTCCACTTTCTGTAACTGGCAGCAACTTACAATGTTCTAACCACAAAAACCGAGCTTCTTCATTACTTTGGCATAAGCTGCAGGGACAGTAGATGGTATTCTCAATCTACGTTTTGATATCTTTGACTGCAATAGTTACCATGACTTAGTCAGTTACATGAACAGTAGACTATAAATATTTCATAAAATCAAGATAAAAAAGGAAATTCATAAATATTGTAATGGGAGAAAGAAAACACAAGAAGCAAAGTTAACTGTTTGGTCCCTCCCTCAGTCTTGGTTAATCCTTTATATTTGTTATAACACTGATTTGAAGATTCAAATCCATTTCCTCCTCTGATAAATCAGTTTAAAACAATGATATATATTTTTTTCGGCTACCGTTTCTAGTGGATAAATAGCATAGTCTTGAAAGTAGCTGCTATGATATGGAGATTCTACATTAAATGGGAGTTTCTTATAACTCAAATTTAGTTGATACTTGAGCTCCAGACCCAAACTATACATTTTTAAGTTAACTACTATTATTATTATTGTTGATGTTTTCGAAGCATGGGCAGAACAATAGGGAGAAAATCAGTAAGACCAAATACCCTTTAACTATGTTTACCAATTTAGTATAACAGATATGAGTAATTTTTGTTTCCCTGCTATGTATTTTGAATTTGCTCTAACACCTATTCTGATTGTCTCAATTGTATTCTGAATAGTTTCCATTTACATTTATTTGTCAGAAAGTTGAATGGATAAAAGTTCGAAAAGTCACTCATGGACTTCCCTCATGAGCTAGCTAATGATAAATAATATAAATAATCTAAATTTTCCACTTATAAGAAGATTGAAAAAAAAACATCAATTTACAAGTCTAAACCATGCACTGCCATGTCAGGTTAGCAAATCTTGCAATATTCTAACCAAGTGTGCTTACACTTGCAGCATTTTTCTTAGGAAAATGTTATTTGTGTACTTAAAGGAAATATAGTTTCTAAATTGTATACTACAAACCATCCAAAAACTTGAAGTGGTTACATGACAGGTATTATTTTCAAATGTAAATATAACTGGAAGTTAGATATTACTCAATTGGGATTTAAAAGGCAATGCATGTTTATTAGAGGAATGTTAACTAATACTCATTTATAACTCTTAACAATGAATCCCACCGCCAATTCTTATGTTCCTTAAAAACTAATTTTTATGTTTGGGTGTTTGGAGGGGAGGAATTTGAAGAGAAGGAAGTCCGTCGAAAGAAATATAAACATCTTAATTGAGAGAATGTTTTTGTAGAGAATAAAAAGGGAATGCCTATCATTTGATATTTTTAATTTTGAAAGTATTATAAAAATATGGAAATGATGTGAAGAATTTTTTCAAGCCTTCCAAAATTCTACTTCAATACAATTTTTTAGTTCCCCATGTTAAGGAAATTTTGTATTATGAAGAAAATAAACTACCCTTACAAATTTGAAGACTTTCCTAGTTCCTTTATACCAAACCTCTTCCCTCCCCTCCGAAAATCTCAAATGTAGTCTTAAGTTTTGTATGAATTTTATGGAGCATAAAGTTGGCTCAATATCTTCTTTGAAAATATGCAATTTAGTTGTGTTTGTGTTCATTACACTCATACCAAATCAAATATTATAATTTTTTTCAACACAACACATGTATTGTCCCATTGGCTAAACTTTGCAGGCCATGACAATAGTTTAATGATGTTAGGAATGCTATTTGGCTAGGTTTCAGATATGACAATAGTTTAACTGATCCAAACACACAGAGTACTAGTTGTACTGCACTAGAACTTGAACTAAAATATCTTTATAAATAAATGCACTTTGCTAGTGCTTTCTATCACAACATCTGAATCTCTAATACGATCTTACAATATGCTTTAACGTTAGTGCCATATGCCCATCAGCTCTAATGCATAATTATGATCTATGACAAACCATGTTTATAGTAACAGAGATTGCAAAGTGCAATCATATCAAATTGACATGTATCTAATGCAGCATACATGTTGTTCTAAGACGTTAAGTACTACAATACAAGACTACCATAATTATAATTATTGCCTCATAAACCCAGTCAAACTTCACATCTTTGCATAAGGAAACACAAGTTGTTCTAATTTCTGAGAATTAAGAAATCCAAATTCACAAATCAAAATTAGTTATTAGTCCTATTAGGTTAGAAACATGTGTTAATTGATAAATATGATTTGTCTACTCTGACAGAAATGTGTCACTATTTCTGCTAAGTATTTGACCTATTTATCTAACTATCTAAGGAATTCAAAATCTATGGTTAGGTACTAAAAATTCCATAGAAAACCTGTTTAGGACGGAAGCAGACATAGATTGTGAGCATGCTCAAGTTAATAACATACCATGATACTAGTCAAGGAAGACTTAGGTAATTTATTCACACCTCATGAATTTTCATGATGGGAATATTGGTAGTGAGTAATTGAGGTTTTCATGATAAACCACCTAGAAACTTGCATTTCAACAAAACTAGGACATTATCATAATCATATACCACAAGTAAGACTTCATTCTGGCTAAAGAAAACTAAAAACGCAAACCTTCAAATGAGCATTGTGACGTTTTCCCTCCCTCCAACGCCTAAAGCTCCCATCATTCAATAATCTGAACCTGGACTTGTAAGACCTGCTCCAAATATAGCAAAGTCACTCGCTCCAAACAAAATACACAAACATAAATAAAACATCCATGTTAAACAACTTGATTAAGCGCTTACAGCACAAACAATTATCATATAAGTGATCATATAAGCTATTTCTATAACAACAACAATCAAGTCTTATTCCACTAAGTGGGATCAGCTACATAGATCAACTTTGGCCATAATGTTCTATCCAGAACCATGCTTCTATCCAAATCGTTAATCTTGACATCTATCTTAATAACTTCTCTTATAGTTTTTCTAGGTATTTCTCTACCTCTAGTTGTTTGACTTTTTTCCATCTGATCTACTCTCCTTACCATATAATCTATGGGTCTTCTCACTACATGCTCAAACCATCAGAGTCTATTTTTCATCATCTTTTCTACTATAGGTACTACCCCAACACACTCTCTCTAACATTGTCATTTCTAATCTTATAAGGTCTATAACAAAAGATAAAATCAAATCAAATTGTTTTCATATGTTATAAGCTACTATCCTAGAGATATGGAAACAACCTAACTCCATAAATTCTATCAAACAGTTTCACAGATCAAATAAGCAAATCCATACTGACCCTAAAATAAATGTCAACAATTCCAAATGCAACACAAACACACACACACAATCACTGAAAGGGTGTAGTAACACTATAACAGAAATGAATAAGAAACCTACGAATAAGATTTCATTTTGGTTTTCTTGATCTTAGAATTAACCGGAGTCATTGGCTTCCTTCTCTTCTTCCTTTCCCTCGACGACACATTCCGCACTTGAATCAACTATTCATACAAAAAAAAACCAAACTTCCATCACACAACAACAACCCAAAAAAATCAACATCAAATTAAATCCCGCATTTTCTCAAACACCAAACACGCAGATGAAAATTAAAACAACTTACGGAGAGTGGAAATGGGGAAGGGCAAGGCGCGTGGATAGGCAATGAAGAGAAACTGAAGAGAGGGCGGGGAGTGGAGTTAATGGAAGCGAAGTGAAGTGGCTGCGGCGGTGAGTGGTGGAGGAAACGGCGAGAAGACGGAAGAGGTTGTAGAGCTTGACGAGATTGAATGGCGAAAGAGCGAAGTTTGGGGAGTAATCTCTGCATCGTTGTCTGTTGCGGTCGCTGGAAGAAGGTTTTGGCTATGGCGTTCTGCACTTTGCACAATCGAACCAAAACATTCGATTCTCAATTTCTCTTCTTTTTCTTTGTTTTTTTTTTTTTTTTACTTCCTTTGATTTGGAATTTGGGTTTTAGGTTTTCTATTTAATACTATATTTACGATTTTTTTTTTTTATAATAACTAGGTATTAAAAAAAAATTCCGCAAATAACCACGTTTCGGAAAAAATTACGCAAATAACCATGTTTCAGATGACTCCCTAAAAGAGGAGTCATCTCACTTGGCGCCTCCACCAATATTTTTGCCCTAGGCGCCATCTCACTTGGCGCCTCCTCTCTCTTTTAGCCAAGTGAGATGACGCATGCACTTTAAAAGTGAGAGGAGGCGTCATCTCACTTGACTCCTAGGGCAAAATGTTGTTTTTATAAATAATCCGTCTGTTTCTCCGTCATTTCTCACACTTTCTCGCACTGTTTTCTTATTTTTTACTCTGTTATTTGCGTCATTGTTTACCGGGAAAAATGGTAAACAACCGCTGATCTTCCAAAAAGTTACTTATTTGGTGACTAGCAGGATCGATCAGATTGATCCTAAGACATGGTTGATTTTTGGAGTTTAACTAACCCTAATGGTGATTAATGCCAGTAAAGTAAAGAAACTTTAAGTAAATTGCATGAAGAAAAGCTTGATAGAATAAATAAAAGCGTTAAGGAATTGTTAAATAAAAGGCTTCGACGGAGTTAAATAAATGAACAACGGTAAATTGCTTGAATATAAAAGACTTTGATTAATTTAAATGGTGTTTCACACATACATTCTCAATGATTCTTTCTCTCACGCTGGGTTCTTGAATCTAAATGAGTGACTTGTATAAAATGATGAACACACTAATAACTACCTAGGAACTTTGTATTTATACTAAGGAAAGTTCTAAGTAACCGCTGGGCAGTTACACCGCTTCGAGATGACGCCACATGGCACGCTCACAACCTTCGACGCCTATGCTCTCGACATGTTGCACTTGGTAACTGTTGGGAACCGTTTTCCCTCCAACAATTCAAATCTCAAATTGTTCGACCTTGGGCATCAGGGACCTTTGTCGAGGAGTTCCTTCGACGTCGAAGACAACCAGATTCTAACTTAAAGGAATTTCTCTAAGTATCTTGTCATTCTTTGATGAGCCTTCGACATGATCAGTTGGTCGAAGCCTCCTTATGTAGGAAACTCTTCTGACTCATAATTAATGGTCTATATGATAATAAACATGGGTGTCGAATTTAGGAGCCAACAAATTGCCCCCCAAGAATGTCTTATTTCGACGCTGAAAAGAAAAAGGCATTCTTTGAGATTCCATTCGACACCTGTCCTTCATTCTCAGCCACAAATCAGTTTGTGTGCTTTTCATCTACCAACCAACTGACAAACTCAAAAAGTCATCATTTCCCCTTTTCCCAAGATGTCACTTCAGTAAGGCGTCTTGTACGCACGTTTACCTTTCATATACCGTCATCATGACTATTTCCCAAAATCGAGGACGCACGCTGCACCGTTTTCGTTTTTCAGAACGGTTACAACACCAAATGAGTGCCACGTGCCCCACTCTTGTCTGTAGCATTAAATGTCCTCGAGCCTTGTGATTTTTTCAATCACTATAAATAGCACTAAGTGCCTCTGTTGGACTCTTTACGCTTTCTTGCATCCAAATCTTCAGTCAAACGAAATTTTCTGCAAGCTTCTTCCTCTCCAAACCCAGTAACCTTTGTTCTTCATCTTCATCCATCTTCATCTCAAACCAAAAAAATGGCTTCACGTACTTGTGCTTCCAATGTCCTCAGATCTAGCACTCCCTCTAACACTACTCAACCGGAAATCTTCTCAACCACTCCGATAGTTAACTCCATGGGAATGCGAAAAGTTCCTGAACCCATGGGAGACGCTGAGCGTGAAACTTATGGTTCTCAACTGCTGATTCCTGTTGGGTATTCCAACCAGGTTTTCGCCATGTCCGTTCCTCTTTCACCATGCATTGCTGACCGAACTAAAATCGAGGGTTTCTTCCCCGTGCATGAGGCACTCAAACCCATTGGGTGCTCGAAGAAGGCGACAGATGATACCGAAGATCCTGCAAAGGAGAAGATAGATCTTCGGTTTTTTAACAGGGGGTTAGGGCTTTTAGGTCTAGCCCTAACCTTACACCAGAATACAATGCTTGGCTCAACAAGATGGAGAAGTGCCAGGCTTCGATTTGGAAAGGCATGGGGATTTATGACCTAGTCATGCTGTCCAAAACTGGTCTTACCTACTGTCCTGAAATGCTGGTAGCTTCTTTGCTGTTTTGGGACTATACTCATTATACCTTCCACTTGCCTTGTGGAATGGTAACGCCCACTCTTTTCGACGTGGCCGCTATTACTGGTCTTCGACCAACTGGGAACTACTTCGACCCAGAGGAAATGTCTGAAGACTAGATTGGGTTTTCTGCCACCAAACCCACTTACACCACCTACACCAACCATTACCATGACAAATTGACGGCTGTGGTGACTGATGTGGAGCACATCGCGTTTCTAGCCCTTTGGCTGTCGCGCTTCGTGTTCTGCACGAAATCCCTACAGGTGACGAAGAAAATGGTCACCCTTTCTACTCAGCTTCATCACGGCCAAAACATCTGTTTGGCCGAATTAATACTGGTGAATTTGTATGAGTCAGTAAGCAGTGGAGCGGCTCAATTGAAAGTAATCGAAAATAGAGCCAGCTTGTTGCTTACTGGTCCCTTCTGGCTACTTCAACTCTGGCTAAACGCCACTTTTGAGTCATTTCTACCCCAGAAGACTCAAATAAACGAAAAGGCTCCTGAGATAGCCAGAAGGCGCGTCGAAGGCACCAGGCTTGCCTTATTAACTCCTACTGAAGATGGGCTGGAGCTACAAAAGACCTTTGCAAACTTTGTTCAGATGTTTGCAGGGAGGAAGGAATTTACCTCGACCATGGCCCCTTTCGCCGGTCGAAAGTTTGGCCCAGGGTGGTTTACCAGGCCCCATCCTAAATCATCAGAGGATCCTCACCTTGAGGAGCACACAAAAATGTGGGAAGCGTTTCTCACTCCAAGGATAATGCCATTGCGCTTCAAGAGTTCAAAGAATCAGCTGAGCCTGATTGCTTACCAGCTGAATCTTGTCTCTCGACAGTTTGGCATCATCTAATCGCTTCCGTCTCCAATTTATCCTCGGGAGAAATCGTTGTTGTACTTTTGTAATGACTACTCTGAGGATGCTGCTACTAAGCATATTAGTAGGTACGTTGGTCGGACCGTACTATCATTGTTCGACTACCAACTCAACTTCCTCTGTTCACCATCTTTTGAAGACTGGTGGAAGAGATTTACGTCGAAGAGTTCTTCGATGAAAAAGATTTTGCAGACGAACTCCAGAAGTCCTTCGTCTTGGTTCTCGACAAAATAAAGAAATGTACGTTCCCTCTTCAAATTATACTTTCCTTTTCATTTCAACTTATATCTGCCAAATATAACTTGTGAACGTGTCTTCTTTCAGTTGTTCGAAAACCTGTGGCTAAGAAAGCCACAGACAGCCATCAGGGTGGAGGTCCCTCTACAAAACCTCCAGCACAGGTAACAAAATTTCTCTTGTTTCCTTCTTTGGTTTTAAACATTCTTGTTCCCGACGCTGTGTCTTAAATCGACTCCATCTGGGATTTTCAGGAACCTGCGCCTAAGAAATGACCTATATTAACGGTCGAATCTTCGAGTGGCGACGAGGATGAATCTCCCCCTGTTCCTCTCAAACGGAGAAAGCTGAAGAAGGCTGCCCCTGCTCCTGAGCCTCGAACTGTGATTAGAACTAAAGTCACAGGGAATAAACCCAGTCCACCTCCTGTAATCATCGAAGAACCCACAGAGGAGGAGCTAAATGTCTTGCTTAGCAAACCCGTTGAGAGTGACAACTCTAGCCCTGGGGCTGAGGTTCCTTTACAGGTAGTTCCTTCGACCACTTTTAACTTAGGTGCCGATGACCACCTTCGATTGTGCATCCCTCTAATTAGAATATTTTTCTTTTCTATTTGTAGGAAACGGCTGGAACTTCAGCGCCAACTGGGCATCCTGTCGAAGGTTCTGATACCTTTGTAAACAGCGCAGGGGAACCCACTTACCATCCTTCTTCTTTCGTCAGTTCTGCTAACGAAGTGAATCAAACTTCGGAGCCACAAGATTCTGCTGACCATAGCAGACAAAGAGGAGGAACTGGTGGATGATGAAGTTCTTGTTGAAACAGAGGGTGGCCCTGAGACGCATCACCAGGAGGAAACTCAAGTGGTCAATGAGACAAAAGAGCAACATGATGAAGAGGGTCATGTTGATGCTGACGCTGCTGAAAATGATCAGCCCCAAACCCACATTGCTGCAGAAACGGTTACCTCAACAAAGCCCAGGTCTAAAGAGGATTTGGCCCTCTAGAAGCAAATCGATCCAATTGGCTACCTGAATGCCATCATCGAGAGCAGGGAAAATTCATCTGACCCTAGCCATGATGCTTCTACTGCATCAGGGATGTCTACTTCGACTTCTCCCCTCGATGAGGTCTTGAAGAAAGTCAAGGCTCAGTTCTTCAAGAGGGATCTAATGAAGGCTTTGGAGGGGGATCCTACTGCCCAGTCTTGTTTGGGAGTTGTCTTGGGTGCAGTTGATTTGCTTGCTGTTTCTCCAGAGATTTCCAGCTTCATCTTGGAGTTATACTCCATTATTGACCAAGTCTCTGCGGACTACAATCGTCGAAGGGGGTTTAACAGCCAACTCGAAACACTGCATGGCAAGAGTTCTTCTGCTTGGACTGAAGTAGCTGAATCGACTTCTCAAATTGCAGAATTATCGAAACAGAAGACGTCCAAGCAACAGGAAATCGAAGCCATAGATCAGGATAACGCCTCTATACGGGCGCAGATCGAGGAGTTGGAAGCCAGGTTAAACGCTA